GGACCCCAAGTGACCCTCCTGGGGACCTGGGAACACCCCCTGGGAGCCAGGCCCTGGAATCTGTGGATAACCTGGAGCCTCTATTGGGCTGACACTCCCAAGCCAGGTGTCTGCCCCAGGCCAATAAGATGACACCAGCCTGTGCCCCAAGACGGGTGGGGGGAGGTCCCACACAGGGGCTTTAGAGCCCTCCTCTCCAGCGTGCCAGGCCTAAGGGCAGCCAAGCATTTCTGTCCAATTCTTAGCCACAAGCCAAAGTGAGGGATTTCATAAAAATCACAGCCCACTTGCCTCATTTTTGATCACTCCTTGACCGCAGCAAATATGGGAGGGGATCTGTAGGTCCCCTTGACAGACGAGCAGCCTGAGGCCCACGGCCACCTCTTCCAGCTGCTGCCTGCACAGCCGCAGCGCAGCACCTCTCACCCAGTGTGGCTCTCACTCTTGGTGCTGGGCAGGCTAAGAGAGTGTCTGGGTCCCAGAAGCCACCCAGCCCAGCCCAGCTCCCTGTCTGGAACCCCGCAGCCACCAAGACCGAGACCTTCTTCCCCGTGGACGTGCCTCTGCAGGGGAGGCAAGGGGGCTCAGGCACCCTGAGGACCAAGCCCTGTCTCTGGGCTCCCCCTACCCAGAGGAACACCTACAGGGGCACTGAGAGGGAGCCCAGCCCGACCCCGTGGTGGATTTTCTGACTGAATCTCCTTAAAGCAGAACTGTAAAAGCACCTCAGCCCTCAGCCACCGTTCGCAGCCTACCCAGCGCCACACACCCCTCACGAGGTCCTGCCCCGTGGTCCCCAAGCCTGGCACAGAGCAGACCTCAAAGTTGTGTCAATGGCGGCCTCCTCTCCCTGTCAGGCCCAGAGCCCATGGCCAGCCTGTCATTCAGAGCCTTGTCCCCCTCCCTGGCAATTGACAGGGGCCACCAACAGGGTGGGACAGCCATCAGAGCCCCCACCCTGAAGGCCTATAGAAGGGGGCTTCCAGCTGCTCAGCCTGGCCAGAGGCCAGGGGGTCTGCTGCCACCCCACCAGCCTCAGAAGCTCAGGAGGGGGGCAGAGCAGTGGGTTATCTCCAAGGAGGGGCTGTGGAAACCCTGTGAGTCAGGCTGCAGTAGGTCACCATGGGGAGGCTGGCCTGGCCACCCCTCCCAGCTCTTGCCACCCCCATATTCAGGCTGCCTCACCTCAGCCAGGCAGCCCCACCCTACCCTTGGCGGCCCCAGGTGGCTTGACTCACGTCCTGTCACCCTGGCTAATTGCCCCCTTCCTGGTGTCATCCTAGAGGCCCTGGTCAGAGACCCCAGTGTCTTTCCCACTTCTTGTGTCCCTCCAAACAGCCCCTGGTACTAGGCGACACCCCAAGGGCTGCAAACTCCCTGGGGAGGGGCTCAGTCCCAAAGGGGTGGTGAGAGAGGATACGGAGGCAGGAAGAAGTAAAAGGAGAGAAGAGGGTATAGGGAGGGGGTGGGGGCGGCCCTCTGGATATTTTACTGCTCTACACCCAAGAGCCCAGGCCCCACCTTTCAAAGCAAAGGCTGAGCCCAGACTCAGACCCCACCCACTGCTGACTACCTGGAACCCCTGCCCCTCCCCTCCCAACTGGGACATCCAGGCAAGGGGGCAAGGAAGTCAATGGCCACAGACCCCTGCCAGCAGAGAAGGACTCCAGCCACATGTGTCCTTGGCACCTAGTGGCTCCTGGATGCGACTGGTAGACACAGCACAGATTCAGGTGTGGCATCCCAGCTTTATTCTCGGCTTTATTCTCGGCTCCCTCACATTCCAGCTAAGGCTCAGAGATGGGCCCAGGACACAATCCCTAGGGAATGGTCCTTGGCTCCTTGCCTGGACCAGGCAGGGGGCTCTCTTGCCCACTCCTGACTGCCTCCTTCAGCTGGGGGGTTCCCCAGAGACCGCCTTGGCAGCGAGGGCTGCACAGCAGAGCCAGAGCCCCAGCCAGGAGCTGTTGGTGGGGGCCAGCCATCCCCCCTGTCCACAAACTCATCCCTGCTCCATCTCAGGGCCCCAGCGCAGGCTGTGGAGGATCTGGGGGCCCAAGCTTCCGTGTCCAAGGACTCGCCACGAGTGCCCTGCCTCCCGAAATTCCTGGGCTGCCTGGGGCCCCCACTGAGACTCCAGTGTCGAGAAGACTCCACTCCCAATCTCCCCGTCCACGCAGTGTCACTGGCTGAGGGAAGGGGCGAGAGGACGTTTCTCCGGTTCCTGCACCTCGAGGCCTGGAGGGAAAGGCTCAGCTCAGGCTCGCTCCCCGGGGGACTCCCAGACGCCTCGCCAGGCCTTGAACATGCCAGGCCTTCGCTTTGGCTGTTCCCTCTGTCTGGATTGCCATTCCCCAGATATGCTGACATGACAGACTCTCACCTCCAAGTCTTTGCTTCAACTTCACCTCCTCTCTGAGGCCTGTCCCGAGCACCAGAATTAAAATTGCGCGCCCCCCACCCCTGCACCACCACCCAATGCTCCTGACCTCCCTCTCCCTCTTCTTTCTCAGAACATTATCAGCTCCTACTATACTAAGGCTGAGCTGCCCAGTACGGGACTGAGTGCGTGACATGTGGCTGGTCTGAACTGTTATGGGCTTGGGTGTAAAATACCACTGGACTTCAGAGACTTAGTGTGAGAAAAAAGAGTATAAAATATCTCATTAAAGGTTTTTTACAGGGATTACATGTTGAAGTGATAACAATATAGGCATACTGAGTTAAACAAAATATGTGATTGAAATTAATTTTACATGTCTCTTTACTTTTTCTGATGAAGCTAGAAAATTTTAAATCACACATGGAGCTCACATATTTTTATTGGACAGAGCTGCTGTAGATAATTATTATTTTTGTGCATATTATTTACTGTCTCCCACCTCCACATACCAGAATGTTCCCTGCTTTATTCCCAGCTAGCACATCACCTGGCACTTAGTAAAATTTCCCTGTCAAATGAATGAATGGGCCAATGAGGCCTGTCAGGAGCCCAGGGTGGGGCAAGTACTCCCACACTCCCTCCTAGGCCCCCACTCACCCTCTCGGTTGGCATCTGCTTCGTGTTCCACCAGGGTCTTGACAGAGCCATCCCATTCCACGCCAGATCCTAGAGGGTACAAGGAGGCCACTGGGCCATGAGGACCAGGACCAGGACAGAGGTGTACAGGGCTTGTGGGGAGACCCAGGAGACAGGAGGGAAGCCCCCTCCCCCAAGGAGCTGATGGGTCCACAGGGAGCTGGGGGGCTAATGGGGTCAGGGACCCTTCTCCTTCACCTTTGCTGTGGGAGCTGGGTGCCCCCAGCGGGCCTGGACGCCGCTGTCGGAATCGCTGCCGGGGGGTGTCCCCAGGGCTGAATGACTCAGAGCTTCGCCCCACAGGGAATCTTGAGCTGAGTTTCCGCCGCTGCCCACCTGCCAGAGTCTCATCCTGCAGGCAGAGGGAGCTCTGGGCCCGGCGCATGGGTGCCGGTGAAGGGGACCCTATGAGAGGCACAGGCAGGGAGGGTATCAGAGCAGTGCAGGGCAGGGCTGGGCAGAGTGGAGGGGCCAGCAAGGAGAAGCTGCAAAGGGGCTGCAGGGGAGAGGGGGCTGTGGGAGGAGGGTGGTGGTGGATGAGGGTGGCGACAGGAGGCTGGACCCTTGCTGGCTCTGACACTAACTCACTGTGTGACCTTGGGCAAGGCGCTTCCCCTCCCTGGGCCTCGGTTTCCTCTTCTGCTGACTGGGATAAATGACCTCTCACTAAAGTCCCCTGCTGCTCCGAGGTCCTAGGCACTGCTGTGGATGGGCAGGATTGGGTGGGTGGCAGCGCAGGCAGGAGGGAGGTGCCAGCCGAGAGGGATGCAGCAGGGATGCAGGGCAAAGAGCCACTGGAACCATCTAGTGGGGGTGGGGGAAGTTGCAGTAGGAAAGGCCAACAGGAGGCATGTGTGCAAGTCACACAGAAAGTAGAAACAAGAAGCACTGGCAAGCCCTGGGGAAAGGCAGGGAGGGGGCACCAGCAGGGAGCATCTTGATCACCTGGCCCCCAGACCCACCTGTCCCATCCGCCTCCCTGCCCTCGGAGAGTTCCGTCTCTGGGGGGCCCCCCAGGCTCTCGGTGCTGCCAGCCCCATCGGCCCCCAGGCGCGGCCCCCCATGGGGGCCCCCCTCCCGCCGGGGCCGCATCAGCCTCTTCACCTTGTCTGCCAGCCAGCTACCCTTCCTGGGGGCAAGAGGGCACAAAAGGGGGTCAGGCCAGGGAGGAAGAAGGGACAAGAGGGCCATGTCGGGGATGGCAAAGGCCAGGCAAACCCTCCGTGGGGCCTGGACCTGAGCTGAGCCAGGGGTCAGAGGGCAGGGCAGGGGCTAGATGGGGTCAGGAGGGACTGCTCACTTTGTCCGGGGCAGGGGCCCAGGCTCCAGCACACGGTACTGGTCCATAATCTTCTCCACCAGCTTCTGTTTCTCTCGGCGCAGGGCGTTGAGCTGGTCTCTGGGAGGATGGGGAGGGAGAAGGTGGACTTGAGGCCTGGGCCCGAGCACGCGGTACACACTGGTACAACCCTGCCGGTTAACACACTGACATACCCGAGAAGAGACTGATAAACTGTTGCTGCCTTAGAGCCCCTGGGTGGTCAACCCCCCTCCTTTCCCAGGCCCTCCATGAGGATCTCCCCATAAACAACCCAAGGGGCAGCCACACGGGCCCAAGTGCAGCCTCTCACAGGTACTCGCGCTGCTCGCGGTGCAGGTGGTCCCGGCTCTCCAGGCTGCGCTCCAGGAGCTCCCGGTTCTCCCGGCTCAGCGCCTGTACCTCAGCCAGCAGCTGCCGGTTTTCCTCTTCCTGGGCGCTCCGGAGCTCTGTCAACAGCTGTCAGGGGCAGGGGCAGGAGAAGCAAGAGGCTTGAAGGGGCTGAGGGTGGTCGCCTTCCACTCCCTCCAAGCTCTCTCCATTCCCTGCCCCCCTAACCCGGACCCCTGTCACCATCCACCCCTCACCACACCTCACACTGGGTGGTCAGCCGGCAGGCGCTCAGGTCCAGCTGCTGGTTGGACTCGCGCAGTCGCTGGCTCTGCGCCTCCAGCTGTGCCCGCTCCAGCTCCAGCCGTGCCAGCCGGCTCCGCAGCTCCCCGCGTTCGCCCTGCAGCTCCCCTCGCTCCCTTGAAACCTCCGCCAGCAACATCTGAGCTCTGCAGAGGCCAGGAGAGCTGCTCTCCAAGGGGACTTCTCCCCCGCCAGACCCCTTATGAGGGCCAAGAGAGCCATGACGGGGAGAAGAGGCAAAGCAGGACCCCACAGGGACAGTGCCTAACTCACTACTAACCCACTTCACAGATGGGAACACTGAAAACTGGCCCAAGACGGGAGGGCTCTGCCAGGGCTGGTACCTGTCATGCTCACTCTGCAGCCTCCGCAGTTCCTCCTCCAAGCCCCGTTGCCGATGTCCATCCTGCATCAGGCGTTCGCGCTCCGCCAGTAGGGCCACCTCCTGCGCCTCCACGTTGGCCCTCTGGACCTGCAGCTGCTCATGCCTGCGATGAACAAGGGGCTGAGAGGGCCGCAGAGAAGGGGCCAGGGCAAGCAGGCAGCTGGACCACCTGGACAAGGAGGTCTGCCACCTCCTAAGCACAGGCCCCAAGGCAAAGCCACAGGGCAGACTGCTGTATCAGGCGCCCACCACTCCCAACTACCAATGAGCCCCAGGGTGAGCCCACCCCAGAAGTACAGAAAGCCTAGACACACACAGCAGTGGAGGTGGGTCTGCTGGTGGTGGTGTTTCCCTGGTGGCATCAGACCTGCCCGAGGAACCTGCTCTGGGCAGACACGGGGTGCCCAGAGAGGAGCTGGGTGTTTAGAGGAGGCTCACCGGCCCTGCAGCTCCCGGTGGGCCAGCTCCAGTGCCCGCATGTTGGTCTTGAGGTCACGGTGCCGGGCCAGCAGTCCCTCTAGCTCAGCCTCCTGCCGCCGCTGTAGCTGTGCCAGGGCCTCATGGTCCCGAAGCAGGGCCTGCTGCTGCCCACGGGTCTCCTCCTGGGAGTGCCTCGCCACCCGTACCTCCTCTTCCAGCACCCCTAGCTTTCTGTGCAGCTCCTGGCCCTGCATCTCCAGTATAGACTTCTCAGCCTAAGTCGGAGATGGGAGCAAGGGCTACTGGCATGGCATCCCAGACAGGAAAGTGGGTAAGGGACAGAGGCAAAAGGGAGACGGCAGGGCAGAGGAAAGGAGAAAGAGTTGTGCAGGGAGCCGAAGGCAGAGGCAGCCGTGGAGGGGAGGGCAAGAGACACAAGGCAGGGATGGGACAGATGGGGCGGGGGTCGGGACAGGGAATCAGGAGGACTGATGGCAGACTATGGAGGAGAGTGCTGCAGGTGGGGCGAAATGGGTACTAACATGAGGGCTAGAGGCAGGCAGCGGGTAGGAACAGGGGAAGGTGGCAGGGTCGGGGGAAGGGGCAAGTGGAAGTGGGCAGGGACAGGGCAGGGGGCAGGCCGTCACCCACCTGCAGGCGGCTGCTGTGCTCCTGTGCCCGCTGAGTCTGCAGCAGCAGCTCCTGGGCGCGCCCCTGCAGGCTTCCCAGCTGTCCCTCCAGGTGCTGCAGCTGCCCCTGCAGAGCCGCCTTCTCGGCTGTCAGCGTGGCATTCTGCCGGGAGGGGAGGGGAGCCGGGTTAGCAGGCACCAGACCTCTGGGGCACACCTCCCAGCCCCATACCCACCACGGTCCAACACTCACACTGCGCTCCACCTCAATGAGCCGCATGCTCTGGGCCTCTGTGACCCTGGGCTCAGCCTGCTCCTCGGGCTCCAGCCCCGCAGGGCCCTGGCGCAGCTGCAAGGAGAGGCCCTGGGAGGTCACTCCGGGGAGTGGCGGTGGCTTGGGGATCGCACAGTGGACCCTTACCCACTTTGGCAGCCCAGCCTCCCCCATCACACTCTCCCTGCCCATGGATCCTGCAGCTCCATCACCCACCATCCTGCCTTCTCATCCTCTCCCGGTTCTGCAGCAGAGCTCGGCCTCTGCCCATGCAGCTGCCTCTGCGCATCCCACTCTTCCTCTGGGCCCCAGTCTCAACACCGCTTTCTCCAGAAAACCTCCCCTGATCAGTCCCACACGTGCCAGCTAGGCGGTCTGCTGGGGGCCCACTGGCTACAGTCATCTGTGTTCTTGCCTCTGTCCCAGGTGGACAGCGAGCTCCCGGGGGCGGTGACCTGACATCGGGCCCCATATCACACCAGTGCTGAGCACTGAGCCCACACACAGCGCAGGGCATCAGAAACAATCACTGACTTAGGAGAACAGTCATCAAGCTCAGGAAGTGGTGGGGCTTGAGCAAGAGAGTCCCAGCCGTCGCCTCGGAACAAAGCCACCAGGCTCTGTCCGTTTGAGGAAGTGGGAAGACAAGGCTCAGATGAGGCCACACGGCCTGGCAGAGCTGCCTAACTCCCAGCACAGTGCTCCCTCCTACAGCCCCCCAAAGGCAGGGCGCAAGGCAAGCAACTGGCCAAGAATTGAGGGGCAAGACCAGAGGGGGCACTGGAGGGACAGAGCCTGCTAAGTCTGAACATCTGCATGCAGGATTAGGGGGGTGGGGGTGGCGAGGCCCCAGCAACCAGAGCAGTGGCAGCCTCACCTGGAACAGTTCCTCCTCCAGCTGCTGGGCCCTCCTTTTGAGCGCCGTCAGTGCCTCCTCCTTGCTAGTGGCTGCTGCCTGCAGCTCAGCTTCCAACCGCTGCTCCAGGCCCTGGTACCTGCCAGGAGGGATCTTGGCACTGACTCTTCCCCGAGTCCTGGTCTGCCCTTCTCTGCCCCACAGGCAATGTCCCACCTCTGCTGCTGGAACTCTTGTTCCCGCAGAAATTCCTCACGCTCCAGAGCCGCCTGTTCCAGCTCATTCTGCAGACGCTCCAGCCGGGCCCCCAGCTCCTGGCTCCGCACCACGGCCTTCTCTAGCTCCTGAGGGTAGGTGGAGCAGGCTCAGGACCAGAAAGGCAGATCACAACCCTCACCCAGGCCTGAGAGTCAGGAGACTGGGCTTTCTGTCCTTGCTCTGTCACCCTGAGCAAAGATCTTTAAACCCTTTGGGCCTCTACTCCACCATCTGTAGTGGGAGCAAAGCCTGGTCACCTGGCAGAGTGCTAGGAAAGAGGTAGGGATTGTAAGCTTGCTGGGGTGTGAGGGAGGCGCCTGGGCCAGGAGTCAGAGACACTCGCTGGACAAGTATTTTCACCTCTCTGAGCCCATGGTTCCTCATGTGCCCAGTGACAGCTGGACGCGCCCTACGTGCTGAGGCCACACGGGCCATATAAAGGAAAGACAGGCTCGGAGGAGGTGGGTCTGCAGAGCACCCTCAGCCACAGGGGATGGCCACAGAGGGCAGGAACTTGGTGAAGGCGAGGCCTAACCACAGTGGGGGATGGGAGGTGGAGGGCCGGGATGCTGAGGGCCAGGCCGCCTGCGGCGGTTGGGCCATACCATTGCAGAAGTGGGTGGGAGACCCACTCTGGCCTGTGGGCCCCAGAAAGAGGTAGGTCAAACCATTCCAAGGTACAGGTACGGGGGGCCCTGGCAGGATGAAACCATGGGGAATGGCCAACTATGACCAGCCGCCCCCTCCCAAATCCTGCCCTCGGAAACATCTACCAACTTTTGCTCTGGTCTCCCTGGCTTAGCAACCCCACCCTGCCCACCCCCGAGCCACTGCTCTTCCAGGTATCCCCTGGAGCACTGCCTCTTACTGAAAAACTTAAAGTCCAAGAGGCCCTGCTGCCTGCGGCCAGCAGCCACCAGAGCCCAAAGTGGAGAGTAGGAAGAACTGTCGTGCAGATGAAGACTTGCATCTTGGGCCAGACCCCTGCCCTGCCCCTTCTGGCCCCAGCCACAGCCCTCGGTGCCCCACCCACTGTGCCTCTGGCCCTCCACTTGGACAACCCCCACTTGGAGACAACCTTCTTGGCCCTGCTTCCCTGGCCTCCCTGCCTCTGGGCAGCACCTCCTCCTGCATCACATCATTGTCACCAGGAACTGCTCCACCAGGAAATCTCCCCAGATTTCCCTTTGTCCTCAGCTTCTTCCACCCTCTTGGTCCTTGGAGCCGGCTCTTCCAGCCAGCCAGCCCTACCCTCACTTCGCTGCCCACTTGCTGGCACTCCCTGTCCATACTGAGTGCCAAGCTCTCTACACTCATTATCTTACAGGATCCTGGGATGCAAGTATTGTTTTTATTCTGGTTTTACAGGTAAGGAACCCGAGACTCAGAGAGGTTAAGTAACTGGCCCCACGCCACACAGCTGATAAGTAGGGGGTCTGGGCTATAACCCAAGTCTGTCTGACAGCATCTCAGTCACCTCCTAGAGAGTGGACCCCAGAGACAGCCCCTCGGCCTTACCATCTCATCGGTTACACCTCCTATTTTCACATTTCCGAGGCTTCCCCTCCACGATCCCGACCCCAGGCCAAGCAAACAGCGTGTTCCCTACTTCTCTCCATTGAGAGGGGTCTCAGAGCAAATTACTTCTCCTCTCTGAATCTCAGTGTCCTCGTCTGTGCAACAGGGATGAAACTAAACTGCCCAGCGGGAAGATTTCATTCCTCATCTGCAGCACACCCTCCACCCAGCACTGGGCCCCACTGGCCCAACCCCACTTCCCATGGCTTCATGGGCTCCTCTGCTTTCCCTGAGGAGCCTCCAGACCCGCAGACCTGACTGCTCTGCTCACTTTAAACCCTCCAGTGACTCCCTGCTGCCCTCAAGGAAACAGCTGCAACTCCTTCCTTTGCTTGGAAGGAAGACAAAGCCCTGCCCAACAGGAAACCTCCTTAAGGAAGTCTCAGTCTCACCTCCCTCCACAACCCACCTCACACTCCACCTCTCCAAACTTCACCTCCTCCCGGCTCACTGTAATTCATTCTCTCCCCTCCTCCAGGAAGCCTTCCCTTATATGTCCCAGTTGGAGTCCAGTGTGCTTCCTGGACCCCCTTGACTCCCTGCCCAGTCCTGTCTCCACCCCAGATTGAGCATCTCCTGGAGGATAGGTTGCACTGGCTGCTGGTACAGGGCCTGGTGCCAAGAAGTCACCTGGAAACACACTTGAATGAATGAATAGTAGGGTTTCCAAGTCTTCTCTCCCCTTCACTGCCAGTCCCAGCCCCAGCCAGCCTCACCTACCACCTGGACCACTGGCACTGCCTCCTAATGGGGCCAGGTCATCCCCCAAGATGACCCTCTTCAACCCCAGCCTCACACAGGTCTGCCTACACCCTTGGGTGAATTTCCCTGCCTGGGGATGGAGTACAGACACCCACAAAGCTGGCCCAATGCAACTCTCCACTTTCCTCCCATGTGTCCTGGGCCCCTGAACATCTCTAATGCCTTCAAGTCTTTGCACACGCTGTTCCTCCTGAATGGAATGTGCTTCCCCACCTAGTAAAATCTCGATCATTCCTTAGAATCCTCCCTGAAGCCTCCTTGCCCGAACTCTGGCATCAGCTCCCCCTTCCACAGGCTCCCACAGCACTTTGTCCTCAGTAACTAACATATCTTGAGCCTTTGCCCACTGTAAACTAGGCTCTTCACACCATTCCTTCCCCGTCTCCCAAAGACCTGCTGAGGCAGCTTCGAAGAGCACCTCCATTTTACAGAGAGAGGCACTGGGGCGGAGCTGAGTAAACCGCCACAGTCAGAGAGCCAGGATTTGCGGCCAGGCCGTCCAGCTCCATGCCTGCCTCCTGCAGCCACCCCATCAGAGGTAGGGAACATCTGCCCCTGTCCCAGGCCAGCCATGCCTTTGGAAGGCAGGAGTGGACTCTGCCTTTCTGTCTCCAGCCCCAGCTCAGTGCTGGGCACTCAGTGGCTGCTAATGGAATTAATAACCCCCAACCCCAGCAACTGGCCTGAAACCCTGTTTCCTGACCCTGACCCTGGCTGTGAGCCCCCACATACCTCCTGGAGGACCTGCCTCTCCCGGCGCTCCCTCTCGGCCTCCTCCAGGTGCTGGCAGCTCTCGCTCTCCAGCACTTGTAGCCGTTCCTCAGCTGCCTCAGCCCGGGCCCGTAGTCTGGGCCCCTCTCGCTCCCATAGCCTTCGCTCGCGGCCCGTTGCTGCCAGCGCCTCCGCCAGTGCCTCTCGCTCCCGTGATGCGGCCTCCAGCTCCCGGCCAGCTGCCTCCAAGGCCTCCCGCAGCCGGGCCAGCTCTCCGGTCTGGGCCTCTACCTCCTGGTGGGCCTCGGCCTCTGCCCTCTGTGCCTGAGCCAGCTCCTCGGAGAGGCGGGTAGCCTCGGTGCCTCGGGCCTCCAGTCTCCGGGCCTGGGCCTCCAGCTCAGCTCGAAGGGCCTCAGTCTCTCTCCTCAACTGCGCCACCTCCAACCTGAGGGCATCCTGCTCTGGGACAACACTGGCCAGGCTCTCCCCTGGGATCGGCCCCTCCCAGGCCTGGGCCTCATGAGCCCCTTCCAGCTTCTGCTGTGGTTTTTGCTGGACTGAGTCCCCGACCACCCCCTCCAGCTTCTGTTCATGCTCTCTGGCTTCTGTTTGCCCATTGAGTAGGTCCACCTTCTGGCCTGAGGTCTCCTGCTCCTCCAACTGCGAGAGTCCAGGCTTGCTCCCGGGGCCCTCCTGTCTCAGCTCTGGGGCCTTGGGCACCGACTCCCCAGTCTCTACTCCCAGCGACAGCTGAGCCTGAATTTTGATCTCTGGACCCTGAGGTAGAGCCACAGAGACAGGGGTCTGGAGACAGGCTCCATGGCCAACCCTCTTCGGGAAGTCCTGTGCCTCTATGGCAGGGTCTGACTTCTGGAGCATCAGGTCTACAGGAACGATGGCAGCCGTCTGTGGGGGCCTCTCCACCACCTGTGAGTCTGAATCAGATGCCAGGGGAGCCAGGTCCAAGGTCTGGAGGCCTTCATCCGCTGCCTGACCAACAAAGCCCTGGGGGCCATGGTCTGTGGCCAGGCAAGTCTGAGGAGCTGAATCTGGCTCTGGAACCACGGAGTCGTTGCTCTGCTCCTCCAGCAGGGGGTGCTGAGGCCACATAAAAGGGACGGTCAATCCCAGAGGAGGACGCTAGGAAGGACCTGCTGATGGCTGGGGGAGGGGACTCACCTGGCCACCTGGCTGCCCCTGCAGCACCTGTAGCAGGCCCCGAAGCTCCTGATTCTCCCGCTCCAGGGTTCGCAGCCGCCCAGCCTCTGCCTCCCTCACTTCATCATGCAGAGAGGGGGCCACTCCTGGCAGGGATGCTGGAGTGTGTGAGATGAAGTCAGGACCCCTCCCCTCCCGTAGCCCTGGCTTGTCACATACAACCCCACCCCCACACAGCTAGGGGAAGGGCATGAAATCAGAAGCCATCCCACTGTAGCTGCAGGAAAACACACCTCCCACCCCAACCCCTCCACAGGGGCTCCACTCACCCTCCCCAGGAGAGCCTGGGGGTGGCTCCAGGCTCCGCTGAAGCTCCAACTCCAGCTCCACATTCTCCTCTGTCAGCTGGTCCACCTGATGCCGCAGAGAGTCCAGCTCCTGCAGGGAGGGCAAGGTCAGACAAGCCCTCCTCACCATGGCCAGACCAAGTGTGTGGGCTAGAGGGTCACTAGAGGAAACTGGGAGTAGGAGTCACAGGGATCACCAGGGAACTCCGGAGGCCACTGCGGTTACGAGGCAGAGGGAGTCACAGTACACTGAGAGACCAGGGTCACTCTGGCAATCTCACCGCTTGGGTCTCACCCAGCCGGGTCCGCAGCAGCAGGTTCTCCCTCTGGGTCTCATGCAGCCGAGCACAACGCTCTTGAGCAGCCTCCAGCTGCTCCTCCAGCAGTGCTTTAGAGGCTTCCAGAGTGCCGGAGAGCACCCGCTCCTCCTGGTTGGGGAGCAGAGAGAACCAGCGATGTGATGCTGCTACCCCCAAGCATTCCAAGGCCACAGACCCTGGCTCCCCCCCCACATCTGCCCCTGCACCCCAGACCTCTCCCCTCCATCTGCCCCTCCCTCTCCAGGGTCTCTCCAGGTACCACTTCCCTAGCACCAGGCCCCGCCCCTTCTTCCCACGAACTGCCTTCCAAGGTGGCATCCTTCTAGACCCTACTTATCTCTTATTGCTCCAGACACTTCCTCCCCTACAGCTGGCCCTACCCTCCTCTCCAGGACCTACCCTAACCTACAGCCCCACCCACTCCATTTGCCCCATCCTCCAGAGGGCCTATCCCCAGACACCACCTCACCCATTTCTCTTAGTGGTGACTGTTTCCTCCATAAGGCCAGACCCTCTCGAGCCTAGGCCCAAATTCTCTCCTCTCATAGC